TTATATTTTTTAAATATTAATTAATAATAAAAATAAAATAACTAGATTTTTAACTTATACTCTAAAATTCAAATTAAAAAAACTTATATGAATTAACGTTGGTATTTTACCGTTTAAATTGCATAATAATTCTTTAATTAATAAATAAGAGAATTTTGTTAATAAACTAATCATTGTTTAAAACTTTTAAAAAACATTTAAAAAATGCAGAGTATTTGAGTTTCAAAAATACTTACTGCACTGGTACTAGGTTTACAGCCTTACAGGCCGTTGGTGACAGAGATAGGCGTGAAATGTGGGGTGAGTGCATGCCACGCGCCGAAACACTCTCCCAATCTCACCTCTTTTCTGCGCCCCCCAAGGCAAAAAGATTTGGGAAGTGCTGTGTACTCATTCTTTTCTTTTGTCTTTGATTTTTTTTTTTAAGTAAATGAGAGATAATTTTTATTTATATTTTTTTATAATTTTATATATTATTAATATTTAAATAATAAAATTCTTTTTATTTAATCAAAATTTGTAATATTATAGTATTTATATTTGGAAGAAGTCACAGTACATTAACTAAATTGGATGAAAAGAACCTTAAATTTAATCCCTATTTAATAGTTTATGTTATAGTTTAATATAAATTAAATTGTAAAATAGAGTTTTTATTATTATATTTGTTTCTTTAATAATATATTAAAAATAAAAAAATAGTATAACACATGAGATTTGCAAAGAAAAATTATAAAATAAAAATAATGTAATTATAATATAATATTTTATTATATAATTAATCTTTTTTATTTAAAATCCTTCTGTGCATTCAGTCTAATCATTTAATAATATATTAGTAATATAAACTTACAATTTTACTTTACATTTTTGGTTGCAGAAAAGATTGTGCGCAGATCATTATTATTTTTTTTTTTGGGAAGGAAAAAATTATGTATATGATCCCCTTTCCTTTCTGGGACACTAACCTCAAAAATCTCTTGATATATTGCTGACCGCATCCACTGAATTGGAAGTACTTTTTAGTCCTGGGAAGAAGATACCAGAAGCCAGAGGAGGAGAAGGTTGAAGCTTTGAAGGAGTTACTGTTGAGGGAAGAAATGGGGTTTTGGAGTAGGAGAATGATGTGTGTTGGGCTGCTGGTGCTATTGTCGGCGTCATTCTGTGCCTCTGATACTGACCCTTTTGATGGTGAGGTATCTTACTTCAAGTTTGCATCTTTTTTGTTTTTGGGTATAGTTTTTGGTGTATTTTGGAATTTGCTCGGTTTGGCTGTTGAGAGTATGAGGGGTTTTCGTAGGTGATGATTGAAAGTTCAGTTCTTTGTCACCATTTTGCTTATCCTACTCCATGGTGTGACAACTTTGCCTTAACCATGATTTATGGTCTCTATATTCAATTTTTTAGCGCCATGCATTTGAGTTGTTATTGAAACTTCTCTGATAAGTGATCATGGGAAGCTTGTAATAACTGGTTCTTTCTTTTCTGTTTGTCCTTAGTTATGGCAATAAATGGCTTGTACTTATCTTTAGGATCTCCACCTCTAACTGGGTGGGTTCCTGTTGGAGGAGATCCATGTGGGGAAGAGTGGCAAGGTGTTAATTGTGTCTTCGCGAACATAACTGAACTGTATGTTGATGTTTCTTCATCATCTCCTACTTCCTTTTGTTTCTTTAAATTAATGGGTTACGGATTAAAATGTCGAGAGCTAAATCTGTTGTATTTTTTACAGACGACTTAATAGCATGGATCTTGGAGGTACTTTGGATGGTAGTATAGTAAACTTCGAATCCATCATATTATTGTGAGTGCCTTTAGTTTCCCCCCTTTAATACACTGGACTAAATAGGTGTTACTATTGGTTAATGTGGTTCAGTTCATTTATAGTTAACATCTTTTTAATCATTTGAGAATGTTTTTGTACGTGATTTGTCAGAACTAGTTGTAAAAGCCTCTCAGATCACTTCTAAATGTTGGCACCATCTGCTGAAGAAAACATATATGCCCAGCGGCTTAATAATGAACTGTTTTTGCACCTTATGCTTCTCCAATGACCTAAGACTTTGTTGAAGTTTTTGTTTGTTTGTTTTGTATCCATGCAAAATCTGACTTGTGAGAGCACAATGGGGAAGTGTCAAGTTTCAGTCACCAAACAGACATGCATAGATTTTTAAATTTCACCATGTAAAAGGTTTATGCTTCTTTCTGTTGTTTTATGGAGCAGGGATCTGAGTGACAATCACATTGGAGGGAGTATTCCACTGACCTTGCCCCTTACCCTCAGGAACTTGTATGTTTGAACCACAATATCTCTCTTCTACCCATACCACTACATTTTGCAAGCTGATTTAAGCACATTATCGTTATTAATTTATGTTGTTTTACCCCTAGAAAGTCCTAGTCTAAGTCATTTGTCTTCTTTCTCTTGTGTTAGATCACTTTCAGGCAATCAGTTTAATGGAAGCATCCCTAACTTGTCCACGTTAAGTGAGCTCTTGGATTTGTAAGTTTAAACCAAAACTTACTTATTCCAAAGTTTTGTTGTAAATATGTTATTGTTCTGTTTTTTCATCTGAAACTTATTTTTATTCTTCGTACTCCTTAGGTCTCTGAATGATAATCATCTAAGTGATGGAATACCAGACTCCTTTCAACAGCTTAACGGTTTAATAAATTTGTAAGCTCTGTCAAATCTTATAGTTTTTCCTTTTGTCTTCATTGTTCTAATCTTGTTTTTGACGAGCATATTCTGGAGCAGGGATCTGTCAGGAAACAATTTGAGTGGTCAGCTGCCTCCCTCATTTAGGAACTTGTCATCTCTTAACATGCTGTTCGTCCTTCTTAAACAATGGTCATTGGATTGTTATAGTTTTACTATTTTCATGAATTACAAACATACTTCTTTGGTTCATGTTTCAGGCACTTGCAGAACAACAAACTTTCTGGGAAGCTTGATCTGCTACAGGATCTTCCCCTTTTGGACTTGTACCTCATTCCTTCTTTATGCTCTTCTCAATTTCATATTCTTTCCAAAAAAATTGAAAATTGAAACAGTAAGCCTAAGAGTGATGGTCTGTCACCTTTTTCATGTAGGAATGTAGAGAACAATCTATTTTCAGGTCCTATACCTCCAAAGTTGCTGACTATTCCAAATTTTAGGTGAAGCTGCAGATTTGATATTGACATACCTTAGAATAGTACATTGCCATAATATGTTTATATTGGTAAAAAACAGAACATGCATGTCTATGTGGTCCTACTTCCAGGTTTGTTTTGCTTTTTCTTGTTTAATTGGTGATGTCAAATATTGCATTCTATGCAGAAAAGATGGAAATCCCTTTAATACCACTATCCTTGCACCACCACCAGTTGCACCACCTCCATTTGGAGCTGGGGCCCCTTTCTTGCCTCCTGCTCCTGGTCAAGGACATGGAGGTCAGACAAATGGATCTTCCAAGCTAGAGCCAACCCAGTCAGAAAAAGGAAGAAACTTTTGGACAAACAAGCGTAGGCTCACCTGGATTGTTGTTTCTGGGGTTCTAGCCCTTGTTGTATTAGGGGTGTGTCTTTTGGTGTGGAGATGTTCTAAAGGTAGAAAAGCTAATGAAAATGATGAGAAGCATGGTATGGATGCACTTCAGGAACCTACAGGGAAGCCTGGTCACAGCAATAAATCTTCATTTCAACCTACTGTTCAAATTAAGGAGGGTAATTTGATAGCATAATCCAGTTTGTTTTATTCTCAAAAGTTTGTTTCTCCATCATTTACCTTTCTCTTGAATTTGTTGAATAGACATTGGAAGAATGGCACCAAGTCTTAAACTGGAGGATGAGTATGTGATAGATGTGATGAAAATGCCTACAAGTCAAAGGCATAAAAAAGATCACGAGATTGATATGAATTCCATGGCCCAGCAATCAATAGTTCCTGCTCCACCTGTTGAAGGGGTTAATGTTAACCCAGTTGTGCCAGCAGTTGTAAAAAGAGGTGGTCATGCTTCTACAAGTCAGAAATCTGCATTTTCCACTAGCGTTTTCACCATTGCATCACTTCAGCAGTATACAAATAGCTTTTCTGAAGACAATTTTATTGGAGAAGGCATGCTTGGTAGCGTTTATAGGGCTGAGCTTCCTGATGGAAAGGTAAAATGATTTTAGTTATGGACTACCTACGTGGTTCTAACTTCTGCATTTGACATGACTGGTTTTTTCATTTGTAGCTACTTGCCATCAAGAAATTGGATAGTAAAGCTTCTGGGTGGTGGAACGAAGAGGACTTCTTACAACTGATTTCTAATATCTCCAAACTTAAACATCCTAATATCTTGGAGCTTGTGGGTTACTGTAATGAGCATGGTCAACAGCTGCTTGTGTACGAGTATTGTGGCCATGGGTCGCTTTATGATGCATTGCATATGGATGATGAAATTCATAGAAAACTTTCCTGGGATGCACGTGTCCGGGTGGCACTTGGAGCTGCAAGAGCCTTACAGTAAGTAGAGAAGCCACTCACCTAATTTAAAACAATTCATTTAATATAGTGAGGAAATTTTTAGACTTTATGCAAAGTCATTTATTGGTTAGAAACTCAGCTTTCTTCCATTTTTTTGCCAAGGTATCTGCATGAGGTCTGCCAGCCACCCATCATGCATAGGAATCTTAAGTCTTCAAATGTTCTTCTTGATGACAAGTTTGCAGCACATATCTCAGACTTCATCTTGGCTCCTTTGTCTAGTTCTGTAGATCAGGTAATTTTGTAAACATCTATTTGGCTGCCATATTCCGCTCCTATTGATTTCAAGTATTACAAATACATCAGTCACTATTGATTGAGATTTTAGAATCACTGCTGATAATGGTGCCTGTTATCTCAGTTATCAGGTAGCCTCATATCTTCTGGTTATGGAGCCCCAGAACTTGAGCTAGGAAGTTATACTTGCCAGAGTGATGTCTATAGCCTTGGAATTGTAATGTTAGAACTCCTCACAGCGCGAAAACCATTTGATAGGTTAGCTAATTTATCACCAAACCCATCTTCTTAATACCCATGTATCAGTTCAACTATTTGGGTTTCACTTAAACCGTGCTTGTATGTAGGTCACGGTCTCGAGGGGAGCAATCTCTAGTTGGATGGGCAATTCCCAAGCTTCATGATATCGATGCGTTATCCAAGATGGTTGATCCTTCTCTAAATGGAGCATATCCAGTAAAATCACTCTCTCGTTTTGCAGATATAATATCTCGATGTGTGCAGGTATAATTTTCTCCTTCCTTCAGTCTTTCTATTGCATTTTTCTTAAAGAGGTTTTAGTCCTTTTATGAGCATTACCGTGTAAAGACTTCCCCAGGATTGAACATTCTAGTTTGACAACACTTTAGGTTGGTTTTTCTTACCTTTTATTTTATCTTCTTGCAGTGGGAGCCAGGATTCCGACCACCAATCTCCGAAATTGTCCAAGACCTTTTACACATGATTTAGAGCAAAAACTTAAGAACCGTCAAAACTGCTGGTCCGAGCATGAATAGGAGAATTTTGATTTGAAGCCTGTTATATATATATATATATATATATACCGCAAGCCCGCGACATTCTTTTCCACGCCTCTCCTGTTCTGTTTCTTCTTTTCACTGAGAGTGATGAGTTCTGCTGCTCGCGAACGTAAATGCTTGGTTTTGAAGGGTGATTGAGGTGTGTTAATGTTGTTTTGTCGGTGTGAGATGTCGGATGGTGCCAAACCACAATCAAATGATTACTTTCTTGTTTTTGTCCTGAGTAAGAATAATTAGCACATGAATGAAGAAGAAGAAGAACCCACATGGATAAAGCTGTGTAGTCAACTGCAAAATTCCAGAATTAAGCCATAAACAAAAGGAAATGCATGACTTCTCCTTACTTTCCCACATGAGTTCTGTCATGACCCAATCCGGAACTGAGTTCCAACCTGAGTCCCAATTCTTTTTCTATTAATAGAACATCTTATTATCTCTTTAAAGATCTAACAATGCAAATTAAATGCAAGCTTTTTGAATTGCTGGCCTAACATCACATGTGCTCACCAAAACCACACCTTAACATGCCCCCCACTCCCAATCATTTATGTGCCCTGTAACTCACCATAAATCTTTCACTAATCAAAGTAATAGACCCACTTGGTTGGTGATTAAATTTAAAACCCATTTCTAAATGTAATTCACAAGCCCTAATCATCCCTCACCGCCTAAAATACTCATTTAGAAATTAGAATCATTTCCCTCTTTTTTTTTTCCTTTTTATTTCTAATAAATTGAATCTTATTCAACTTTAAGTGAAAGCGAATTCTCTCGG